CACTGGGGAGTGTAGGTGTAGGGGTAGTGTACAACCATCATGCTACAAGGGATCTGCGTGCAAATAACCCTATTGCCGAACTGAGAGCAGCTATGATGATGATTTAAGATGCCCTAAAGCAGAAGGTTTCAGATTAACCGGCACAAGTATGTCTGATGACTGATGGTGCATATCTAATGGGAGAATGTGGAACCTCCAAGATCATTATTGAGTCTGAATATATGGAAGCATGTGTGTTTCTTGTTGTAATTTAATCATACGCTGTATGTGCTTTTCAACACAGGGAAGTTTTGGTGTCTCATGCGCATGGGGAACCATGTGGAGATTATAGATGACTCTTATAAGCTGTGATAACTGTTCATTTTCAACACAGGAAAGTTTTGATGTCTCATGCACGTGATGAACCATATACTAGCTTAGCATATTTCTATGATGAGGATTTGGTGGGAGTACTTAAGTAACCGAACATGCGCTAAGTAACCGAACATGCACTTCCGTGAATTCAACATGCAATTATTGATGAAAACAAAGCACCATGTACCTGTAAATTTAAGATAAGTTTAAAAAAGAATTTTGGTAGATTTACTAGTAAATTTAATAAATATTAATAGTTAAAAAGCTCTGAAATTAGCATACAAGTATCATGTAGAAATATTCGAGTGAGTTTTTATGTTTGCATGGTTGATGGGATTGCTGTACCTATTTTAAACAACTTAATAATATTTATTTGCCATAAAAAAACAACTCATGGTATGTAAGTATCAAAATAGGGAAACTTTGTGGTATTTAAGTACCATTTAGCCTTAATTTACTTGGTATATCTAGAGTAATTTGTTATAAGGCCAGGCTTTAAAAAATTTTGGTCTTCAAAGTAAATTGGACTAATATTAAATTTTCTTTAAAATGGGCGAAATGCTAAACTTCTTGAAAACTATTATTTTTGGAAACTCTATTTTTTAGACTTCACTCCAAAAAATTTCTTGAAATTTTAATATTTTTGACAAAGACCAAAGGGTAAAAGATAATTTACCGAATACTAATTAGAATTTTTTTTGAACTAAACCTTTTTTGCCCCCTGAAATGTAGGGGTTAATCTAATAAATTTGTCGAATTTTTCTCCTTAAAAATCCTATTTTTTGGTCTTTAAGATAAATTTTGTGATATTTAAGGGGCTAACTTAAATTTATTGAAATTAAACCTCTTGTACAATTTATTTATTCAAGATTTTGAATATTATAATACATGTGCTTTGCACGTGGGCATGTTTTATGTTTTGAGTTCATTTCAGAGATAGTATATAGGAAGTGAATCAAAGAGAAGAAAAAGATTAAATTGAAGCATTACGAAGAAGTTTGGCATTTTTATATATTAAAGTACATCAATTTAAAAGTAAACAGTTTGGTGAATCTATTTGAATGAGCATAGATGATCAGTTACAAACTAATGTATATTTCAAAATTTTGAATCTATGTTGATGTTTATGTTTCAGTGAAAGTATTTTAAAATTTATATAACTATATGCTAATTTGGTTATAAAGTATATGTTGAATATATGTAAAGTTTATATTCTATAACCTGAATATAAATATATAAATTGATATCCTAATATAAAATATATACGTGATGGTAATTTATATTTTATATGTTAGATTAGATGTAACTTATGTCCTAATATAGAATTAAATTCACAATTTACGATGATATTATAATAAATTGACAGGATGAAAATTATTGTACTTGAAATCTAATGAAACAAAGAACAAATAATTCCAATCTTAAATAAAATCCCAAATGTTGTGTAGTTTTTTAAATTTATGTTCAATCCGCTCAAACAAATCCTTATAATTGTTTCCGACTTTCCGATTCGAGTTTTTCAAGCACAATCGGAGATAGAGTTACGCTTGTTCTGATCGTAATATATGATAACACTATAGCGGCAACGCCTATATGAGATTATCCATACACCTCAAAACTGTCTATACAAATCAACCCACCAAAATACAACACACAATCATCTTCTAGTTGATTCTTCCATGGTGTTTCTTGGATGGAATAGTAATTAGTTTGGTTAAACATGGCTTACAAGATGAAAGCTAGTTTTTCAAAAATTAGGATATACCAAGTTCTTAAAATGGAACCTATAAAATAATTTATTTGGTATTTTACCAAATAAATAGAAATAAAAAAAACTAGCTTAAAAGCTAGTTTTGATAAAAAATCCCCCCCCCCCCCGTCGCCCCCAAAAAGACTCGTGATTTTCCTCTAGCCCTCAACACCCCCTCATGAAACGCTATTTAAAACCAACGTGATCTTCCCAAAATGCCCTTTGATTTAACCACCTCTCGTTTATCTAAACCCTTCCTCGTCGTTCATGCCATTTTATTTTTCTTTTGTCTAAGCGAACCGACTCCAGAGCATTTTTCCCATTTCAATACCCTAGCCCTAAATCATCTAACTCCAGAGATTAATCAGGAAAAATAACCGGCGAAACAACTCCCAAAGTAATCCTCCCCGTCGAATTCAGCGAAGACGATGACACATCACAGTACATCGTCTCAAAAAGACCCTAGACAACAAAGGAGTGGTCTGAAGCTGGCGCTTCAATTGCTGATGTTCTAGAGGACATCGCAGCCAACCACTCTCGTCCAGAAGTCCAGCTCAACCCAAAAAACCAGGCCCCAATCTAGATCTAGAGGGCAACACCGACACCACCGGCGGCACCGACGATGCCTCTAGAGCGCTCGTGAATCTACAGAGAGGAGATAAAGAGAAGCATATGGCAGCAAAAAAGTGATTTTATCGCAATTTTATGTTGTTTATCATGTTGCATGATGTGTTAATTGTGAATGATACTGATCAGTTATGAAGGTTATCTTGTAGTTGTCAAGAAAATTAATTCATTGTTAGGGTTATGCATTAGTTGTTAAGGTTATTGATCTGTTGTGAAGGTTACTGTTTAGTTGTGACATGTGACATGTTAGTTGTTAAGGTTAATGGTTACTTGATAAGGTTCTGAGTTTGTTGTGAATGTTATAGTTTACGGGTGTCTGTTAGTTGTAGAGGTTACTGTAAAGGTTACTGTTTACGAGTGTCTGTCTATTTTTTTAAGGTTAAGGGTTAGTTGTGAAGGTTACTGTTGACAAGTGTCTGTTAGTTGTGGAGGTTATTGTTTACTTATGACTATTCGTTGTGAATGTTACTGTTAACTTGTAAGGGTTATACTTTTATTGTTAAGGTTATTGATTGGTTGTTGATGATAGGCTTTGGTTGTTAAGCTTATGGATTTGTTGTTAAGTTTATAGTTTTTTGTCAAGTTTACAGCATAGCTGTTATGTTTATTGATTATTTTAAAACTATTTATATCTTGTGGTTTTGCTTTGTAGACAAAGGGTAAAGACCACATCTGCATTGCGGCTCACATCCAGCTTCACTGCCTACTATGATTTCATGCACACTTTGGTGCAGCATATGGGGGCAAAGGCACTGGGAGGCCTACGAAGATAGTGTATTCAGACACTACATTTATTTTGGCCCTCTTGGTCTTGATCTTCTCACTTTTGAGCACGTTTTGAAACAGTGGGACGAGAAAAAGAGGAAATTCGTCTTCACTGATACAAAATCTAGAGAAGAAATCGCGTGCTCATTCAACCTTGAGTGGGTAATGAGCCATACGTGGTTCTCCAATGAGGGGGATCTTGTTGGCTCCAACCGAGATAGGAAGAACAAGATTTGGTCCAGGTTTTTTACCAATCCTGAGGGTGACAGCAGTACAGCTCCTCCTCCAGCCCTCACTAGACGTAATGTTGAGGATCTTCTCATGAAGCCGGTATAATCAACTGATCATTGATATGTGAAGGACATTGTCCTGCTACAGATCCTCTATCAGTTGAGCATGATCTGGTGTCCAAGCAGTGTTCTTGGCGTTCTTAGGCATTTATTCAAGTATGTTGACAGCATCGAGCAGGCCAATAACACTGCTTGGGGATCTATATATTTAGTGAGACATTTGATGCGATAGAAAAGACATCGAAGGGTCCTGGGTCAGGAAAGACGATTGTATATCTGCAATGGTGTACCCAGCTTGTATGTGTAAATAATCCTACTTTTTTTATTACTAATTGTGAAGGTTAGGGTTTAGTTATTAAGGTTAGGGTTGGTTGTTAAAATTACGGGTTAGTTGTTAAGGTTACAGATTTATTGTTAATGTTATGGATTTATTATTATGGTTGCTTATTTGTTGTTAAGGTTAAGGGGTGTTTGTTAAGATTCTATTTCTCTCATGTGCAGCTATGGTACAATGAACTTACTGGCATCAAGATGCCAGTAGTTGGAAGTACGTTGCGGCCTCCCCTCATAAATTGGGTGAAACTGAGAGATGTTGCTGGATCTTTAAGATTGGCCACTATTGTAGCTAAAGTAAGGAAAGCTATGATAAAGCTTCCAAAGTTTCATGGCCAAGTTCAAAGTATTAAGAGAGGTTTGCGAGGGGAAGGAGCAGGGGAAGGAGAAAGAGAATAAGAGAGAGAGAGAGAGAGAGAGAGAGAGAGAGAGAGAGAGAGAGAGGAAGAATGAAAGAGAATAAGAGAGAGAGAGAGAGAGAGAGAGAGAGAGAGAGAGAGAGAGAGAGGAAGAATAAGGAACCGACTGCAGGAGACGCCGGTAGGGCACATAGCCCAAGCCAGCCTCTTCTCAAAAAGAAAAGAGGAGCAGAAGATGATATTGATGAAGCGATCGAGCAACCCAATGAGATAGTTAAAAAAGTAGAATTGCCTCAGTAAGTGATCTATTAGAAGAGCATCACGATAATGAATCACAAGTTACATTGCGATAATGAGAATAAATTCAAAGATCAGATTGCTACTGACCGAATAGAGATAACTTTTCTTTCTGTGAAAATGGCTACTTTGTCTGCTCAAGTGAGGAGGCTGTAGGTTGTCTAAAAATTACTACAGATAGCTGATCCCCATCAAACACTGATGATAGAAGTTAT